GAGAGAGAGAGAGAGAGAGAGAGAGAGAGAGAGAGAGAGAGAGAGAGAGAGAGAGAGAGAGAGAGAGAGAGAGAGAGAGAGAGAGAGATTGTCGTCTCCTTTCCAGCTGGAAGAAGACTGACTCACTCACTCACTCTTCATGAAGTCCTAGGAGACCATGGGGACCCGGGCTATGGGGGCGGTCACCCACCCCCCTAGAATTCGTATTGGGCCTTATTCGGCGCTTTCCTGTGACTCGCAGCAATTTCACCATTACTACCTACCTACCTCCGAAGGTCAAAATAAAGGGCACCCCTGCAAAAGGGGAAAAAAAAAAATACAGACTTCAGGGGAAACACGAGAAAAAAGAAAAAAAAAAAAAGGCCACGATAGAGAAGAGGCTGACCGACGTGAGAAGAGCATTTTGAGTTCCTGTTCACTTGGGCTCGGGGAAATCAGCTGGCAGGAGTCACCTTGGAAGGAAAGCTGGTCCTAGCCCCATGGCTGCAGGGCTGAAGAATGCAAAACGTCCGTCCAGGAGACAGTGGTAACATTGAGTCAGTGTACTCTGAGTAGGTAGTTTCCATTTAAGGGCTGGTAGATTAAGATGGTTTTCCTTTGTTACTGCGGGATGGGAGATACTGAGGAGAGGTATTATGGGGGTTTGGGTTTGGGAACGCGATAGGAGGTACTTACCTATTCTCTCGGTTTTCAGCTCCGCAGAAGGGGGCATCACTTAGAGGGACAGTAGCTTAAACTGAACCGGTTTAGGTTCGGGGAGGCTGCCGGTAGGCCTCTTTCGCTCATTGGGGATGGTAGGAATAGGGGTAGGTAGCCGTAGGCTTAGTCGCAGTATTACTTGCAGTAGGTCGAGGACAGTCAGAGTATTTGGTGCATAGATCAAGCAGAGTAGTATCAGAGCATTCTCATAAGAATTTGAGTCTTAAGCTAAACCGGCTGATGCTGCCGGGATAACTCTGGGTTGAATTGTGAGGTCCCCGGCCTCCCCCCTATTCTTTTGTAATATGATTTTGTTTTGAAAAAAAAAAAAAAAAGAAAGCAAAAAAAAAAAAAAAAAAAAAAAAGAGCATTTTGAGTGTGAAAATGATGCACGGACTAAGGGCCTGGCTGCACTACTCTTGAAATGCACAAAAGACAAAAATCATG